AAAAAAATCCATTTTAGCACCTGGCCGGAAATCCAAATTTATATTTTCAACTAATCTGATACAGATGACGACTACAAATAAAATAAAAATTAAAAATTAATTGTTATACTTGAAATTATTAGATTTTCGAATTATTTATAAATACACACACATACCGAATATTAGAATAATAAATGCCTTCATGATTATGATTTTAACACTTTTATTTATTTGGACTGTTCACTACGGTTTATTTTCAATTAATAATATTTTAATAAATTTAACATTTATAGTTATAGTATAAAATATACATATGTATAACAATATTCTTTATTTATACTGATACTCTCTCACATGCTGTCTCTGTTCAATAATATTTACAAATTATTTTTAAAAACACTAAGTTAATTGATCTTTTGCTAAGAATTTAAAAATATCAGTAGCTTTATTTAATTTTCCCTTATTTAATTTTATAATTATTGTTATACAAAAGAAAAATGAAAATATTTTTAATTTTATAAAAGCTATTGTTGAAAAAATTAAAATATGTTCCAAGTCAAATAAAATATAGAGTATATTGAACTTACGAGTTCAACTCGTACTCAGATCAAGCATATTAATTTTAGCTTAAAGAAGAAACAAAAAAAAAATGAAAACAAAAGATGGTCAAGACTTACTCTTCATTTATTATTCGATTTTTACAAATTTAAAATATTTATATTAAAAATTATTTTAGAAATCTATTTAAGTCTTCCAAATTCTTACAAATTTTAAGGTTAATTTATAAAAGTTCGGAAATTTAGAATTGATTCATAGTATTGAATGAAATATAGCCCGTTTTATTAACGAGATCTCGAAGTCATTGGAATGCTTTTGAAAATTATAATATTGCCTTATAGGAACTCAAATTTACTGCTTGAAATACATAGAGTTAGCAAAAATATGGTAATTAAACACTCTTGGGTTTTGTTTTTAGGTCAAACATATTGTATTAAGATTAATAATAATAGATTTACGAAATACTCAAAAAAAAACTCAAATATAAAAAAATTTTAAATATTTTTAGATATACAAAAAAATTAATCTTCGCACACTGGTATCTCACATCTTGTACATGGACCTTTATGTTGAGTTACAAAATCTAAAATGAAATAAATAATAAAATTTACGATAAACCATTGAAAAATTTATTAATTTTAAACTTACAATTTTGTGGATTTTGGCAATTATTTACACCAATAAAACAGGGATTAGCAAATGTTGAATAACAAATACCATTATAGGCACAAATTCCTACATAATACATTGGACATACATCAGGACATTCACATATATTATTAGCATAACAAGGTATACTCTTACATTCTCCATTTGCTACAATATCGTATTCTGTAATATTTGATTGAATTATTATAATTTTATTATTTAAAGAATGTTAATGTATATTCTATATTTATATATATTTACTTGGTGTACCATCAGCTAAATTACAATTTTCTACTTGTACATTACATTTATTACCAAAAGTTCGATAACATTCTCCATTAAAAGTACATACTGGTTCAAAAATATGTGGACAAGAAGTTGGACATTCAGATGTTGGACTTGAATTTGATGATGAAGATGCTGATGCATATGCTTGTGCTGATGCTTGTGAATATGATGATGAATCCGCTTTTATTCTATAGTATAAAATAACTAAAAATTAAAAGAGAAAATATTTTTTGTTAATTGTTTTCTGGTATAAGAGTAATTGATATTTTATTCTCAAAATTATTATTATTATTATTTACCTATATTAATTAAGAGAAATAAATTTTTATATGAAGTCATTTTTTTTTAAATGAAGTGGTCAATTTTGGAAACACGCAAGGGGTTCTGGACTGTTATTAATTCTGGACCAATTGTTAACTGATAATGATATTAATATTTTAATTTACTTTTATAGCTGCATTAAAGTTTATCAGTTTTACTAAAAATAATTGTGAAAAATGTTTATCGTTTTTATTGTTCTGGAAAAAAATATGTTAAGTATTAACAGTTTATTGTCAATATTTAAATACTTATTTTAAACGACTGAACTAATAGTATTTTAATTTGTAGTGTTCTGCTTATTAAAAGGAATACAATACGTATGATATACCTTATACAATAAAAATTCCATATCTCGAAAATTGGATTTTCGAGATTTTTAATTTTCGTAATTTTTAATTTTCGAGATTTTAACTTTTTGCTAATTTATACCTATGCAATAGTAGACAATGATGGCATATTAGGAACAGGCTTTTTACTACAAAAAGATTTTTAATATGTAAGAATGTCAAATTTGCTAATAATAAACGTGGCCTCCGTGAAATCCGAAAACTCAATATCTTGTATGTTGCACCGTCAATCTTAACTAACTTGTTATAAATTAACATTTCGTGTTGTGTTGTGGTAGAGATGAGTTCTAAATAATTATTTAAAATAACTATACATTTATAATAATATACAAATTTTGATATAACCACTCATTGTATTGTATAAAACATACATACATAAAAACATATTTTTAGTGATTTGTTTAGTGAAAAAAAAATTTGTTGTTATAATGTAAAAAAATTTTTAAATTTATTTTAATTATTTTCACATTATTTTCTTAATTTCTATTACAATAACACTATTATATTAAAAAAAATTAAATTAATTTTTACATACTGGCGTTTCACACGCAGTACATTCACCTGAATGTTGAGTCACATAATCTAATAAAATGTAAAATTTATTATAATTTAATAAATTGGAAAAATTTATTATTTTCCTTGACTTCCAAAATGCAGTATTAAAGTATGATTGCAATGTACAAGTGTTCCAATACAAAAAGATACCCGAATGCAGTCTGTTCCAAATTGCACAACTACATTTATTATTGCGCAGCAAAAACCGAAAGATGGGAGGAAAAAAAGTCCACATCAAAAAAACTATGCACACGTCAAAAAAAATGTCGCAAAATCAAATAATAACATCTTGAACAGGTTATTTATAATATTATTTGTCAAAATCACATGATTTGCGAATAATACGGTGCAGATCTTTCAAAATGCCTGTATTTTAAAGAGGAGTTCTCAAATGTTTTGTAATTTGTTTCAAAGTAAATTTTTCTCAATTTTAACTGCCGTAATCGTATTGCAATAAAACTTTTTCTAACTACATTTTGGAATTCGAGATTTTTTTTTTTGTTTCAATTTACAATTTTTTGGATTTTGACAATTTGCAGAGTCCAGAAAACAAGAGTTTGCAAATGTTTTGTAACATCTACCATTAAAAGTACATATTCCTATATAATATTCTGGACAAAATTCAGCACACTGACAAATATTATTTGAATAAGAAGGAATATTTTCACATTCTCCGCATGATACAATCTCGTAATCTGTAAATACATAATATTTTATAATCTTAATTTTGTTAATAATCAGCTGGAATTTTATAAAATCTATTTACGTGGATTATCCGTTCCCAAATTACAGTTTTCTACTTCGACATTACATTTATTACCAAATGTACGATAACATTTTCCATTATCTCCATCGTATTCTGTGCACACCGGTTCATATATACAAGGACAAGAAGTAGGGCATACCGGCCCAGAAACACTTGTAGGTGTTGATAAAATTTGTGTGATAACTGAAAAAGCAAACAAATTAATTACAATGTTGTATTAATAAATTTTGAGTAAATGTCAGATATTAGACTATTTACATATATTGTAGTTTACCAATACTAATCGTTAAAAATGTTAAATTTTTAAATAAATAACGTAACATTTTCCTAAGAGCAAACGATGTTTCTGTCTGTTACGTAGAAAAATTTTTTAAAATGGTTATCTCGTAAAAATGCTGGTATATTGCTTATAAAGTCAGATACAATTTTGGCATATTAGGCCGCTTTTATATCATTTTATATATTACGGGCAGGTAAACATAGAAATTTGAAAAATATGTTTTTGCCTGGCTTTCTTTGTTTTTTGTGTTTTCTTAAAAAAAAAATTGCTCATTTTGCCCTCGTGACGTCATTATTAATTTTCATTTGTGTATCAATATTAAAGAAATGTTCTGTAAAATATACGTGTTTTATTCATTTATGTTTACCCACAATATGGTTGCTATATTCAGTTTTAATTAAAAAATTACCACTTAATTTAATTAATTAATAATGGGTGACCTTTTAAGAATTGAAAGAACAAACAATGAAGAGTTGCAAGTTATTATTTCCTCAAATCTGTCGTTATTATTTCCTTTTTACATGTTATTTAATGTTATTACAATGTTGAACATGATTACGGTCAAGGAGATTAATTCAAAGAATCCAATTATAAGACATCTTGTCTCACATTTTGGCTCGAACGGAAATTTGAGCTTTGATCAAACAGAGTCATTCTGATTGTAGTAAAAAAGTGTAACGTCACTGGAATATAATAGTGAATATATATTTTCCGAGTATTTGAAAAAGCTCAGCTTACAACCCTTATGTATTACTTTTATTGAACAGTTTGACTTGTAGAGGAAGTAGAAAACTTAGTATGTGCCACTTTAACATGGATTTCCTTATTTGCCGGTTCTGAATGTTGGATAATAAGCTTCCTAATAGAAAACGAATTTCACTATAAAATACTATAAAATAATTTTTGGAATTCTTATCTTATGTTGCACTTCCCATTCACTAATTCAATATTTTAAAATAATTATTATACATGATCAAATTACTGATTCTTAGGTAAGGAATTGACAATGCTGTCGAAGATACTAAAATAATTCTTCACAGATTATCGGTAGTTTTTAATGTCAATGATAGCTTTAATGTTTCATCATATTCTGGATTTAAAATAGGTGTTCAATTGAAAATAGAATATGAAAAATATACCAACAATTTTTATTTAACAAAAAATATGTTATAAAATTAAACAAATAATTGGAATATAGAAACTTATAACAGGCACAATACATGAAGATTACAAAATTTTTTTAATTTTAATAAATAATTTATTCTTCTATACAAACTGGATTTTCACATGTATTACATTCACCATCATGTTGATATACAAAATCTAAAATAGATGAAATCGAATAATAAATTATCTTTAAAAATTTTAATCGAAACTTACAATCGTATGGATTCCAACAATTGTAGCTATCTAAATTACAATTATTTGAAAATGTTTTATAACAGAATCCATTATAACCACAAACTGGTTCGTATATAGCGATACAATCAATAGCACAATGGCATATATTATCAGAATAGCAGGGCTCATTTTCACATTCTCCTTCCGAGACTATTTTATATTCTATAATGAAACATTGGAATTTCAAACTTTTGAACAATTTCTTAAAACATTCATTTTACTTACTATGTGCACCTGGTCGATTTCGGCAATTTTCTGCATCAACTTCACATTCATTACCGAAAGTTCTATAACAATCACCGTTATATGTACATACTGGATCATATAGGGTTGTGCAAACCTCAGGACAATTATCACCACTTGCTGGTTCCTTACAAAATAGAATAGCTAGGATGAAAAAAGTTTTAATATTAATTCCTGGGGATATTTTCCAGTTGATTCACTAATAACGACAAACTAACCAAAAATAGTAAAAATTAAAAATTTTTTATTCAATAAAGTCAACATTTTCGAAAAGGGAAGATTTTTGTGCTTCGTTTCAATTTTGTAATTTTGACCACAACTGATGTGATGCTGTAAAATCGAGTCACTTTTATATAATTTTGGTTGCATTCAGAAAATGCAGATTGTTAAAATTAAATTTATTTTTTAGTTTGTTTTTGTTTCGGTAATTGGTGTGCAATTTGTTTATTTAAATTAAATTAAAAATAATAAAATTTATTAAATTATTTTACGTAATCGATAAATATTTGTCTGTTGAAATTTATCAATAAAAAAATTAAAATTTATGGAAAATGAGAATAGATATAGTTGACTGTGTCAACTCTATCATACACGTACGAATAAACGATTTTAAATGTAGGAGGTAATTGGCATACACAACTTCTTGCTTTTTACATGTCTAGCGCCATTTTATAAATATACGGGAGTTGGCATATATAGCCATACAATCTAAAAGAGTTTTATTGAAAATTATGGCACCAAATTCATTTGTTCAAAATTTCAGTTTTTTAGCTTCCATAGTTCCTGAGTTATGATCAATTAACTTTTGAAGTTGTATGAAAGCTACCACAACCAGTCGAAAAATTTCAACGGCTTTTATCAAACAAACATACCTAATAATATATTTGTTTGTACCAAATTTCAATACCATAGCTTCTTTAATTTCCGAATTTATGGCCAAATAAATTTTGAAGTTGTATGGTAGTTATCCGAACCACCAACCCAGTTACACCCAATTTAAATAGGTTTGAGACATTTAGTATAATAAATCATTTTTGAAAATTTGATTATTTATTTATCTTAATTAGTTTTTGATATGACGTTGAACAGACGGGCAGGCATGGTTAAATCGACTCAGAATTCGACGTTGATCAAAAACATTGAGTTTATACCGCAAACCATTATTTCTTAGCGTTATAAATGGTAAGGCAAGTTTATTATACCCCTCTGTACATATTTTCATAGGGGTATAAGAACGAAGTATAAAATTAGTTTATGTAATATTGGACATACCACTATCACGCCAGATGGGGGTATGACGCGAGTTATTTTTAACTGGGAAATTATTTGTTTTAAAAGACATGTTTGTCGAAATTTGCTCAAGTTTAAGAAAATTATATGAATGTGTAATTTATTGAGTTTTTCGAATTTTAATTTATTTTGTAAAAAAGAAATTTTTTTATACAGTTTTAAGATTTACTATTCTACGATAAATTGATTAACTCGCTTCACCTTTAAAAAATATTCTAATCATAAGAAAGAATTAGATTCCAAAAGACGATATAAATTGATAACAGTCATGCTTTCATGCAATTATAATCAAACATTTTTAAAACTTTCCTGATATTTATATTTTTCCGATGGACATTATTTTCTCTCAAAAATTTGAGAGAACTTCCTCTATTTCAGGTACATACACAATAATACAAAATGTATGTGATTGTACAGTTAGTAGAAAACTGGTTATGTGGAGGTGTTTTTTGTATCATAACTATGACTTTGCTTAAACTAATCACTATAAACTTTAAATAAGTAATCTGCTTACATACGTTATGCATAAGTGACGCATATTTGCAAATTCATTTGTATTTTTTGTTGTAATTATTTTAATTATTTTTATAAATTAATTACTTACATTAAAAATTGTCACGTTTTTATTTTTATATTAATTCAATTTATTTAATAAGTCTGCTCAGAGTAAGTTGGCGAAATCTTAAAAGTGCAACCGAATTAGAGAGAGAGAGAGAGAGAGAGAGAGAAACGCAACTATTGAGTATTATACTAAAATTTTTTTCTTATTAAATGCCTTAAATTCTAAGCGTCACAAATCAAATTCTATTGTCAAAGTCATTGTCGTAAGTTTAACGCATTAAAACGTGTTCGTTCCGCTGTTTAAATGAGCATGAAATAAACACAAAAATGTTTATTTATCAAAACTATTTTGAGCGGTGTTCGTTAACATTCCAAAAAATCTTTAAATATTTAGCGGCCGACTGCATTTTAGCACGTAAATTAATGAATATATTGTTGAATTAATTAATATAGACTAAATTCAATTGGACCTAATCAAAACTTGAAATAAAATAAAAAAGCAAATTTTTATTGGTGTCTTCAAAATAATTAATTTTCCAGCAGATTCCAATTTTACAATCTTTATTTACTAAGTTAAATTCGAATGCCAAAAAATTAAACTCATCCAATAGAATATGCTCCTGGAAGGCGGGTTGCACACTATGTATAATATTAATTACATATTACATACATTATCTGTAATTCTTCGGGGAATTAAATTGGTTGTGGACATGTTGGGATCTCAATATTTTGATCACATTTTCCATTATGTTGAAATATAAAATCTAAATAATAATACACATAATTATTAAATATAAATTTCCCAATTTCCGTATAACATGCAAATCAAATTTTCTTACATTCAAATTTGCTATAACAATTACTACTATTAAGAAAACAAATATTTTTAAATGTTTGATAACAGCATCCATTAAAACCGCATACTTCCACATCAAAAAATGTACAATCAATAGGATAGTGACAAATGTTATTAATAAAAGATGGTTGACTTTCACATGTCCCACTTACAATAATTGTATATTCTAAAAAATTAACATATGTACCTAATATTATTTGAAATATAAATTTGAAAAATACTATTTTCTGGCGGAGATAATCGGCAATTTTCTGCGTTAACATGACATTCATTAGCAAAAGTTCGATAACAATCACCATTATATGTACATATAGATGAAATTGTAGCTGAACAAGCAGTTGGACATTGATTATTATTTGATGGTATAGGTGCTTCTGTTTTCTTTATGTGTGTACTGAGAAAAATTTCTGAAAATGTTATACGTATAAAAAATATATATATACGTATACGAGTATAATTATGAATGATCTCTTAATAATAGTTAAAATATGCTTACCTGCGACAACTAAGTAAATGAAATTTTTGTAAAATTTAAAATGCATTTTACATTTACAATTGAGTATAACACTTTGGGGGAGTAACTTCATAATACTGTTATAAATTATAATGTACCATTCTACTTTTATACTAACTTGTATTCACTATATTTTTGCTGCTACTATATACATATAAATATATGAATATGTTCCAAACTATCATGTGTGTACAATAAATAAATTATAATTATCGTGATTTTTTTAAGTATTTTAATTTATTTTTGAATCAAAAAGACTAAATTATCACATAAATTTATTTTTTATATCAACTAGAATTGTTTATGAGTATAACACATTTTAAATTTATATAATTATAAATATAGTGTTATTTATCGGAATGCCAACGAAATAGGAGCATTCTAAAGAACACTTACTATAGAGTAAAATTTTTGTAAACCTGTAATAATTAATCGGTTGTTTTCATATTTACCGACCGTATTTTGTATACAATAGGTAGCTTATGTAATGGTAATATTTAATCAGTAACAGTCATAGTATTGGACATATAATGAGACATCAGAAGTATGAGCTGCTACAGTTGATTGTTGAAGGTAAAATTGAAGGTCGAAAAAGTATCGGAAGGAAACAAATATCATTGCTGCGGAATATTAAAAAGTAGACCGGAGTAAGAACAGCAGGCCAATTAATCCAACTTGCAAGACGTCGAGAAGAATTTGCCACAATATTGGCCTGGCTTTTTTCAACTCTTAAAGAAGCAAGAATTTTAATATTTGTTATTTGCTCTGCACATGCCCCGCTCTGATGCGAAGGAGAAGGCGCTTTTTGAAAAGATATCGATTCAATGGATCAGAGTACCTGTCGGAGGTTACTGTGGGTGATCTGCTAAGCTTTATCAGGGGACTTCAATTGATTTAGCGGGAAGAGATATATTGTGGAAGGATGTCGACAGGCTTTCTACAAGCTTAGTGTTCGATGGCACAATTAAGGGTTCTGGAGATATGTACATCGTTTTTAGAAAGCTCCTCTCTTTTGATATTCAAAAAACTATTACCTAGTACTATTATATTTTAGTTCAAAATTTTATTTTATTTATCCTGATTATTATAAAACTGATTATATAACTTAATTTTAAAAAATGTTTTTTTTTTCATTATCTTTGTAATATTCTATGATGTTGTTGTTGATGTTGTTGTTGGTTGTGGACATTCTGGCGTATCAACATCTTTATTACATTCTCCATCATGTTGAGGTATGAAATCTTTGCAAATTATTGTATAGATATTATTTGTGTGAATTTTTAATTTATTTTAAGTATTTAAAATGAAAATTTACTTACAGGAGGACTTATTCCAACAATTACCACTATTAAGCCAACAAATATTTTGAAATGTTTGATAACAACATCCATTGAAACCACATGTTTCATTCTTAAACATTGGACAATCAATAGGACAATGACATAAGTTGTTTTTATAACAAGAGTTATCTTCACATGTTCCTAATGCAACTACTTTATATTCTAAAATTATATTAATTTTTTTTTAAAAATTAAATAATTTGATTCTATAATTTTTAAAGAATTAAATATAAATATACAGTTTTTAAATAAATACCATTTGGAGGTGGTGACACCCGACAATTTTCTGATTTAACGTCACATAAATTATTAAAAGTTCGATAACAATTTCCATTATATGTACATACAGGATCCTGTTCACATGGACAAGTTGTTGGACATTTGTCATCGGAATTTTCACCCGATTCTGATGAACATGATCCTGTAGATTGAGCTGATGATCCTGATTCACTTGATGAAGCGTATGCGTTTATTTCACTAATGAAAATTACTTAAAAATAAGGAGGTATGCTATTGATAAAAACTGCCTTTTTTACAATAAATTAGTGTCTATATTCACCTATATTTATTAAGAGCAACAAAATTCTCAATTTTGAATACATTTTCCAAAAACTATATTATTTAATGCAATGGAATTTTTATAAATTTTAAATTAATTTTATGAACCTTTTAGTCGAAACTTCGTAATAATTTAGCCAACCTTAACATTTCAACCTATTTTTATACCTACCATTAAGTAAACAAATTAACATAATTTTTAGCCGTTTATGGAAAATTGAGTTTGTTTCACTGCTTTGTTTGAAATGTGCGTAATTTTCGACACTGAGAGAAAAAACATTAGTGAAAGTAGAATTTTATATAAACTCAGTCATTGAATTTCGTAAATTAGAACTAATTAACCAGCAAATTGAAGTACAATGGAATTATAGCCGATGTAACATTAAATCAGATTTTTCGAGATTATGCAAAAAAATCATTTAATAATGAAAGATTTTTATACTAAGTGAATACAACAAAATACATTCTTAGGAAGAATAAGATTTTAAGGTTAGTTTATTAGAAATATGTCTGAAATTTTTGCTCCCGAAATCACATAATTTATAGTTGCTGAAAGATTATTATATCTTTCTATATACATTTCTATATTTTTTATATATTTATTTATGATATAATATCTTTATTAAATCTATGCAATTTTTATTTGCACATGTACTTTCATAATTTTGATTTATTGTGTTAAGAAAGCTTGAAATTTATCGATCGGAAAATGTCAATGACTCAAACCCAAAGCTAATTTTTATTTAATAAAATTATTAGTACTAGAATTCTCAAAGTGTATAGACTCCAATTATCTTAAGATCAATATTTACTTTATAATAATTAAGAAATTAATTAAATTTTATTGAAATTTTCAGCTTTTCTTGTCCATCAGGCAATTGTACTCTTGAATATGAAAAGTTCAAATTAAATTTATTTATAAACTTATTGATATTTTCGAGACAACAAGTTGAATAAATAAACAATTGTGTGTATTAATATTATTTACCAATTAAATAAAGTGTTGTTTGCGGTTTATAAAAGCTGTAAGAGTTGCCACAAAACCTTCAAAAACTGTAACTGGTTATCTTTTAGCAGAAATTAATAAAGTCTTACCTGCCATTATTTAAAATTTCCGAAAAGTTAAAGTATCATCAAAATAGAGAGCAAATTTTAGTTTATACTTCACTTTTTTATATGCGAATTCTCATTAGAAATAGTTTTACAGCTCTTATATATGAGACAAACCTTAGGCATTTAGGCAAACCGAGTACGAGGAATGCCCTACAACACTCGCTCGAGACCCACTCTCGTGATGAACTCAACCAACTTGTGAAGAACAGAAGACCGTAACTCCGCCACCGTTAGAGCAAAACCCCCCAGCACCTTCCCACTCCTAAGAGCAAGAATATCACACTCCCCCAGAAGGTGCTTCGAGGTTTCCCCATACTCCCCACAGAACCTAAAAATACCCTCATTTTCCAGGCCCAGCCGACTAAGGTGTACCCTAAGTCTGCAGTGACGCATCAAAACGCCGTTGAGGATTCTCACCTAATTCTTGCCCATACCTATAATTTTCTTAAATGGCTTCTGGCCATAATCTCACAGGCGCTCCTTGGCTTGCCGCAGCCCCGAAAGACTTCTCCAGCGTTCCGACCGCCTTTTTTCTGATTCCTTCCTTAATTCCCAACGAATAGTATGTGGTCCAACTCAGCAGAGGGGCTCCGGCCCAAGAAGAGGTGTGTTTACCCCCATTCTTGCAAGCACATCAGCGGCCTCATTTCCTTCCACGCCCACATGGCGCGGCACCCAATACAGTATGACCCGGTTGCATCTGCCCAACTCATTGAGCTTCTCAAGATAGCCCCGTACTGCCGCAAAGGATATTGAAAACAAGTTCAACGCTCCAATCGCAGCCCGGCTCTGCGACGTAATCATTATCATTATCGAGTATAATTAAAGAAGTGGAAAATATTAATACTGGGTGTAGTCGCATTTATTATACAAAAACTTATTTGTAAGTCTAGTTTAAATATTATTTTGAAAATACTAATTCAGAATTCTTGCACACTAATTTCATTTATGTAATTTAAGTCGAAATAAAATTTAATTAAATTATACTCAAGCTCACGTCATAAAAGACGGCAGAACAACAAAACCAAAATTTAATTTTGTTCCACTGAATTCAAAATACGCTGCATAAATGGTTTGTATAGGTATGGAGAGTACGGAGAATTCCGAAAATGTATATAATATTATTGCTCATCAGGGCATATTGGTCCTTTTAAACAGCCACCGTCATGTTGATAAATAAAATCTAGAAGAGCAAAAAAAATCGTAAATTTTGTAATTGATACATTAATTCTTTAAAAAAAAAATATTTTGACTACACTTACTGTCAAATGGATGCCAGCAATTATAATTAGCCATGAAGCAACTATTTGAGAAGGTTTTATAACATCTACCATTGAAGCCACAAACAGGATCAACGTATAATGCACAAGCGAAATCACACCCGCACAAAAACGTAGAATAAATTGGATAATCTTCGCATCGCCCTTCGGCCACAATCAATAATTCTAGAATTAAACAAAACATTTACATTAGAATTCGAAAATATTTTGTACTTACTTCGATAACAAAGTATATACTTACTTCGATCACTCGACGATTCACAATTTGCTTTATCGACTAGACATTTATTTTCATAAGTTTGATAACAAGTACCATGCGATACGCACACGGGAGCATAAACAGCTGGACAAGATTTTTGACATAGTGGAGGACAATTGCATGGTGTCTTAGAATTACTATTTGATGAAGAATATGCAAATGATTGTGCCGATGCGGATGATTGTGAATAAGATGAAGAGTCTGCTGACACTTTACCCAATACAATAGCTTAAAAATAATTGAAATATTTCATAATACAGTTAAAAATTATTTTTACTCATTACTTACAAATACAAAGAAGAAATATTAAATATTTCCTTGATGATTCGGTCATTTTTTCTTTCGAAAAGGGAGTGGTTACTTACAAGTAGTTGCAATAAAGTGTGTTCTCCAAGAATAATTGATTAAGACTAATCTGAATTCTTTAGTTGTTTTTAAATTTATACTTTTATTTTATTTATAAATAGTTTATGAAAAAAATATTTAAATAACCGTTAAAAACATACTATGCACACATTATGTG